ATTTCTTCTTTTCTACTCATATGCACTTGATCTTTAGAAATATTTTGGCACATAAACTAAGAGAAAAGTTTCAGTCAACCTTTGACTAACTTTCAGGGGCTAAAGACATGACCCTTCTGCTTTGGTAAATAGTGCTGTGGATATTTCAGCCAGTTATGTTGTACAATGTTATAACAGTTTTTGAAATCAGCTTTTTATTTTATTTTTTTATGTGTATGAGTGTATTGCCCACTAGTTTTATTGAAGTGTAAATTCAGTGCAACCAAATGCACCCATGTTAGTTGTACAGTTTAAATGAAAACCACAGATAAGATGTAGATCACTTTTATTTCCCCTATATGCTTGTGAATAGTGCTGACCTTGATCCCAAAAGGTATATACTCAGAAGTGGTATCACTGAATCATATGGTAGGTCTGTACTGATTTTCATAGTAGCTGTACTAGTCACCATCTCACCAATAATGTAGGAGAGTTCCTTTCTCCTGTATCCTCACCAGAATTAGTTTTGTATATTTCTTGATGATAGCTTTTCTGACTAGCATGAGATGGAATCTCAATGTCATTTTGATTGCATCTTTCTGACAGCTAAAGAATGTTGAACATTTTTTTCATGTTTTTATTGGCTATTTGAACTTCGAAAATTGTCTATAAAGTTGACTTGTTCATTTATCTATTGAATTATTTATTTTGGGAAGTGTAATTTTTTTGAATTCTGAGTATATTCTGGACATCAGTTTTCTGTCAGATGAACAGTAGGCAAAGACTTTATTGCATTCTATAGGTTGTTTCCTCATTCTGGAAGTTATTTCATTTGACATACAGACCCTTCTAGTTTAATGCAGTCCTATTTGTCAATCCCTGCTGTTTCCTGAAAAATTGATGTTTTATTCGGAAGGTCACCGTCCGTGGCTATATCTTTAAGTGTTTTCCCCTAGGAGTTTCAAAGTCTAAGGTCTTAAATAAAGATCTTTGGTTCATCTTCAGTTAACTTTTGAGCAGAGTGAGAGACAGTAACTGTTTTTAGTTTTCTACATGTGGAGGAATTCCAGTGATAGAACTGTAGACTGTGACCTACT